GTGATGATCGTGTCTTCAAGACCAGCCATTTGTGTGAGGAGGTCATCCTGGGTGGCTTCTGTGTAATGACAAGAGAGACAGGTCCCAGACCCACAGCACTTACTGGCACCAAGAAGGAGCAAAGCCATGAGTGCCTCCCTCATGCAGGTTAGCTTGAATAGCACAAGCCACATGGGAACCAGCCACAGAGAGTGAAGAGGTAAGATGTTCACCCTCCTGCCAGTCAATGAAGCGAGGGCACATTAGACAGTGACTAGAGATATCCTGGTTGTCACAGCTGTGGAGGGTGCCACTCATCTCTGGTGGGTAGAGGCCCTGGCTGCTGCTAAGCACCCTACAAGACACAAGAGAGTCCCACAGCAGCTGCACAAAATGTCGAGAATGCCAAGGTCGAGAAACACTGCATCCCAGAAGTCCCCTTTCCCAGCCATGACGGAGGACAAAAGGGTTTTCCGCAGTGAATTGGAATTTTTAGAGTTTCTTCATTGTGGACCGAAATATTTCATGTTTTTTAAGGATACATGTTACTATTGCATGTATAAAATTACATGAGTAATATTATCTTAAGCCACAATCTCCACAAAATCAGTGTACTATATCTCAATTTTTGATGTACTCTTTCAGTTTTTTAAATATTTCTTTTCATCTATACAAATATGTGATTCACATAATGAGTTTCCCCAAAACTCAACTCAAATGTCACCTCTTCTTGAAATTATTCCTAATGCTGAACGGGTAGTTGTTCCTTTTTCTGCCCTCCTATGGCAATCTATTTGTACTTTTATCCTAACATTTATCACTCCATGAAGTAATTATTCATATAAAGGTCACTCTTATTTAGAAAATAAACCCTAAAGAGCAGAGGCTGTGCAGGATGTGCTAAGCATCTGACAATCCCCCCATGACCCCCGCATCAAAGAATTAACCAATCCAGAATGTCAGTAGTACTGAGACTGAGAAACCCTGCATCTCTGGGATCCTTTTAACTCCAGTACCCACGTGGTGCCTTCCGTAAAGAGGTATAAGCTAAGTGAATGCATGAATGCTCACAGAGAATATTACTAGCATAAAAACACTGTGAGTTCCATTTCATTTTTCTGAGTCCCGCTTGTTTGTATCGTCATGAAACTAAAACCTATGACATATGTTCATCTAAAAGGAACATTTTTGGGGCAAATTGACAGAATGAGTATTATTAGCAACCAGCACATGAAAAAGAAAAGCAGTAGGCTGTGTTACAGACTGAAATCTTGTGGATAAGTGAAGACAGTCAACTTTAAAGGTGTAAAATATAGGCAATAATATTAGACAACATCTTTAAAACCAAATAAGAATGTAATACTGAAACTGTAGTGATAGTAATTAAAAATGGCATGAATTTATGAACCAAAGCTTTCAAAATCAGAAAGTGACTCAGAGGTGTCATAGAGGCTACCTATCCCTCACAAGAAGAATCAATCAAACTTAAACTACACTAATAGAAACGTTAGAAATTATAGACTTTCTGTACATTCTTTTGGTCAGACAACATCTATAGCATGGTTCAATTCTGAGTGCCACCTGACCCTTGGAGACAGGGAATGTTTCAGTATCTGTCTCAGCTGCTCAGTTCTGTGATTGTGGTGTAAAAGCAGCCATAGATATGTTAACAAATGGATATGACTGTGTTCCAATAAAAAATTATTTACAAAAGCAGTAGTGTCAGATTTGGACCTTCTCTGTTTTGGAAGATACAAATTGACAAATTGTAGTAGGTCTAAATCAGAATAATCAGTATAGTTAAGGGTGTAGAAACCCTATCATAGAAGGGATGGTCAAAGAGATCACTAATATTTAGCCTAGAAAGAGATAAATCCTTAAAATTAAAATTTTATTTAGAACACTTAAGTACAAGATACCACTCATTTCTTCATTTAATAAAATTAATTTTGCCATGAGCCTCAATCACAGGTCTGGCAAAAAAAAAAAAAAAGCTCCCACAGAAACCAAAAACTAGCTTGTTTTATATATATCCTTCTTGGGCATCAGTGAGAACTACAGGTTTCTAGAATCCAGGAGATCGTGAAAGGGCCTCTGGTCTTCAGCTCACTGTGGCTCTCACTAGAATATGTGTTGTCAAAGACTATTTGGTCAAGTCAAATACGGTTGGTACTACTGCTCCTGTGAGCATTTCTTGTTCACTTACCACACTTGACCATTTGGTCCAGCACTTGGGCACCAAGCTTTGGTGCACATTGTTTGTTTGTTGGGCGTGTGGTCTAGGAGCAGGGTTTGAGGGAATCTGCCACTCCATACTCCCAGGCTCAGAAGAAAATCTAATTCTTTCTTCATGGAACCCAGCTACTAGAAACACCTCTTCAGTGGTATAGATTTGGCAAGAAGTGAAGCAGACATTTTTCTTACAGCGCTGGCCAAGTTTTCACAACTATCTTTGGCAGCTGGTGGTCCCACACAGGCTCCTCTAGGCATCGTGAAACATATTTGTAGATCTGGGTAGACAAAGGAGGCCTATACACATGAAAAAACTGACAGTTCAAGAAAGTATGTGTTAAATGTCAAGTAAATCATGGAAAAGAAAGAACATGATATGTGGGTTAAAAATGAGAGACCATTTTTAGATGGAGTAGATAAGAAAATTATATTCCTCAAATCTTTATTTCCAGTGAAGACTTTTTACCAGAGCTCCAGACACACACACACACGATTTCCCAATATGTGTTTCACATTCACCTCAAAGTCAATGTGGTACTTAAAGTAGAATTCATTATATCCAACCTGTCTCCACCTTAGAGTCATGCTATTCCAATGTTTCGGCTCTCTCCTATTAATCTAGAAACTAGCTTCAATTTTTCTCTCTCCTTTGCGCTCAACATCCAGTCAATCCTAATCACTAACCAAGCTGCATCTTTCAAATAAACTATCTCTCACATATGCCACCAACTTATCCATATTGCTATTGCCTTATCTCTGGTCCCAACTATATCCCACATGGATTTCAGGACAGTCTCTTATTTGACTTCATTGCTAGTGCGTTCTCTCCCCATTTCCCATACCATTCCAAGCTGCCAACATAAGCTTTCTAAAACACAAATCTAATCTCTTTTTCCTACATGACTCTTAAAGGCTTCCATTGGCTTCAAGCTAAAACTCAAGCTCCTTGGTTTGACACATGAGATAACCTTGTGATCTGACCCTTGGCTACATATTACTTCTCATCATGTCTTACAATTTGTGATAACCTGCTGTCCCTTGAATGGACTGTGACTTTTTTCAACCTACCTCTTTACATTTCCTTCTAAAATGGCCACCTCCCCTGACTCTGTAGCCTGACCAGCTTCTTCAAAGTGAAATCTCAGAAAAACCTTCTATTTTCTATTCCCACTTCCTCCAAGACTGAAAAAGAGGCTCTCCTCTGTGTTCTCTAGCAGTCTGCAGGTATATTTTTTATGGCATTTATACTATTGGTAGAAACTGTTCATTCTTTTTGTTATTTCTCTCAAGATTATGAGGTATTTAATGCTGGGACCAACACCCTTCATCTTGATAACCCTACACTTTGGAGATAGTAGGAAATCAATATGTTTATGTTGCCGAATAAATATTTTCTGTTTCTTTGTTTTGTTTTATTTCTGAGTCAGGGTTTCACTCTGTCACTCAGGCTAGAGTACTGTGGCATGATCACAGCTCACCACAGCCTCAGCCCAAGTAGCTAGGGCTACAGCCACATGCCAACACACTTGACTAATTTTGTTTTTTAATTTTTTTGTAGTGATGAGGCCTTGCTATGTTTCTCAGGTTAGTCTAGAACTTCTGAACTCAAGCAATCCTCCTATGTTGACCTTTCAAAGTCTGGGATTGCAGGCGAGGCCCCCATGTCACACCTTGAATAAATAACCTCATGAGATGAATGGAAAAAAAGCATGTTGAGTAGAAGAAGGAGCATTAGCAAAGGCTTAAAACTTAGAAAATGGATCTTCTCAAAATCACCACTAATCTCTGTGTTGTTCACTCAAGTGGTCGGTACTTGGATCAATCAGAAGCAGTTTTGTCACAACTTTGAAATACTTTTCTCACTTGGCTTCTGGTACTTCACACTCTTCTGATTTTTTTCTCCTCTGGCCCTCGTCACTTCTTAGTCTTCCTTGTTAGTTCATCCTAGACCTGTTCTCTTCTTAGCTACATTCATCCCCTGGGTGACCTCATATTCCAAGACTTTACATGCCACCTCTGTGCTGCAGTGCTCAAATTATCTGTCTTTCCTACACTTCTTCCCCAAACTCCAGACTTGTTTATACAGCCGCCTGCTTGGCATCTCTAGTTGGCTCTGCAGTAGAAATTTCCAAACTGAGCATTTCTAAAACTGAACCTCCATTCTATCCAAAACCCTGCTCCACCTGGTCCTCCCCATCAGTCACTTGCAACGTTTTTCTCCTAGTTGTTCAGACCAAAACACACTTTGAATCACTCTTTACTCTCCACACACAACCGATCCACAACACCTCTGGCTTTAATCTTCTCTACGTCTGCAACCAACCACACCTCACAGCACCTTTGCTGCCACCACAGTGGCTCAGGCACCATCACCTCTCATTTTGCCTACCATATTAGCTTCCTGTTGGATGGCCCTGCATCCACCATTACCCTCCTCAGTCTATTGACATGCCTAACAGTTACGGATATCCTTTAAAACAAGTTGCTTCAGAAACAGCTTTCATCAAAACCTCTCAGTGGTCCTCCATCTTATTTAAAACCAAAACCAAAGCCTCTCCATTGGAATGTGAGGTTCCATATTCTGACATTTGGGAATCAGTGTATAGATCATAGTAAGCTGCAATGGCTTTTAGATGGCAGTTTGCATACATTTCTGTGTATTTGCAATTTACTTTTTGCTGAGCAACGCCCAAATTTGAATGCACTGTGCTGACAGGGGTGGGTGGGATGTCTTTCAGAGTGATGTGTCTTGCACCGCCTCACAATAGTATTTTTTTCATCTGTTCTAGGTCAATGCACAAACTGGCCCAGCTGGAAAGACTTGACCTAGGCAATAATGAATTCAGTGAGTTGGTAAGCAAACGCATTTCCTTTTTTTGTGCATGTATTTTAAAGATGTGGGGTACAGTTCAAGGTTAGGTACATAAATGGTCTACTTTCAAGTGAAGTTTGGGCCTCCCACTGGTCCTTACTTTGCCTGGTTTAGGATCGGATACCCTTAGTAATGTTATGTGCCCTCCTTCCCCACCCCTGGCAGTTTCTTGTTACTGCCAATCCCTTTCTTTTTTTTTTTTTTTTTTT